ACTTTCTTGTTTTTTTACTATTTATCTCTGCCTGCTCTTGACGTAATATCCTATAATACGATCTCTGCTTTTATTTTTGTCAAGTTCTAACATTTGTTTGTTCACTTCGGATATAATCTTTGAACTTCACCACTTCACATATCAATTAGCATTTTCCTCCTTCCAGCCAGTTAATGTGCTAGGACAAGCGATAGATAGTCCTTAGGTTAAGGGAGAGAGAAAAACCGCACAAGTTAGTGTGACAAAGAGGGGCATGCGAACTCTTTAACGGTCGGCTGCTAGGTCAACAATTGGCGTCTTACGGATTACTTTTGCTAGTTATTCACTTTCCTATTTGTTTTGAGCCTCCTTTCACAATAGATTCGAGTTTTCCATCTCTTGCATTTTCAGCTCGCGGTTCTCACGCTTACCTCATTAGACTGGCTGTCGCGACTGCTATTAGTTCGTCATGCCTGCATTTTGTATAAACCTTCGTTAATTCTTTCCATCTCGTATATCAACATGCTCAATGGTTCGCTTAAGAAGCATATATCTTTTTCGAACTCCTTTATGGTGACGGAATCTTTATTTTATCTTTCTTGTCCACTAGAACTTGTATTGTGCTGGTTCCGGTAAACTACTATTTTGCTTGCCTTCTCGTGTTCTTCTATTCTTCTGTCCATTCGAAGATCCTTTACTATTCAAACTTTACATAACCAGAATATTTTACTAGTTACAATTAGATGCGACTTTCTCATCTAGCTAATGATTTAGTTTTCCTTATTTAATTCTTCATTTAAATATTTTTATAGATATATGCTTAATAGCTTCATTATATTGAGTTTAAAAGCATTATGGCATAGTTACGAATGCAATTTAACTGTTATTATTGCTCTTGTTTTAAGTACATGTGTCACGCTTTCCATCGCCATGGACTTCGAAATGAGCTTAGATCATAAAGAATTATGCCCATTATTTGCACAAGCTATTCCTTACTAATGGCGACTGAAGGCTTTTCGCTGAATCAAGTTAACAAGGCCTTTGCACGTTCTAGAAAGTGGACTCGAAAGTTTGACTTGATCTTTAGCATAGCTTATAAATGTCTTCTAACGTTTTTAGCTTGTTTTTATTCGCACATTTTTTCATATTTTCCTGACATGGCATGTTTTTCGATTTGGTATTTTGTATTTGAGCCTTCTTTTCTACTTGCATGTTCTTCTAACTTCAGCTTGAGGTTGCTCTGCGTCACATTTTATCCTTGGACAGCCAACTGCGGAAGCAGAAGGAGCTAGTACATCAAAGCGAGATGAAACGGCAGTGCCAGGAGGAGCAGCGTCGTTGGGAGACTGTAAGTAGGCATATTATATATATATATATATATAACTGCTAGTGTGGATTATTTTTTTTCTTGAGATAGCTTCTGTTTGTTTGCGTGGCTTGTTTTATCCCACAGTAAGTCTTGATTTCATCCAAAATGGAAGTTCTTACCATTGTTTTGGATGGAGAGTGATTTGAAATCTAAAGGGACTTTTCGTTGACTTGCTCTTACATTTGCTTAGTAAATAGGTCGCGCATATCAAAAGCTAAATAGACATTGGCTGATATTGTTTAGAAAGGTGGCCACACCGACTTAGTTCATCTGAATTATTTATGTTTAACGTGCTGATAATGTCACTTCATTTTCTGATTTCTCCAAACTGCTTATACTTCTCTATTTTATTACTTTTATTTAACGGAATTCTGAGTGAAATATGCTTTAATAGTCACTGATTATGCCTACCTTCAGATTTTCATCTTGTTTAACTAAGAGCATGATAAATTAAAATGTTTTTTTAGAAACAGACATCATTTTAATTTTAAATTATAAGGAATTTTAGTCGTATCAATTGGTAACAACGGTAGTTTCATGCAAAACACAGTATTTGTTTATTTTTGTCCCGAGGAATAATTGTTGTTCTACTCAGGGCGAACATTATTGAGGGTCTGAATCTTGTGCGATCAGGGTGAGTTGTAGTTTTGTATCCTTCATTATTCATCCAAGCAAAACTTACAGTCAGGATGTGCAAACTTAGAGGCAAGCGAATAGATCCTACACCACATTGACTCATTAACTCATTTCTTCGAACGACAATTGTAATTGTAAATATAATGCAGGCCTCTCTCAGTGTTGCCAAGCTGTACCAATTTTTAGCTGGAATTCACATTATATTTAATGAATATAAGAAAATACCTGGTTTTGCTTCGGATTTTATTTCACCATGCTCCAAAAGGTCGTTCTCTTTCAGAATTTACTGTATTTTGAACCTTACCTCTATTTATTACTTATTTGTCATTAATGCAAAGGACTTTTAACTTAAATCTTTGGTAATGCATTTATGAGACATATTTGTTTTTTTTCTAATTTCATGCCTTTTTTATTTTGTTTAAATGTTTCGATCCTAAACATGTTATGATAGCAAGTTTAAGGCTTGCCACTTACACTAGGTCCATGGGTTCGATTTGCCGGCTGTAAATGAAAATCCTGCAAGGACAGAAGTTGTCTGATCTCATTTTCGCAACTTAGTTGTGCCGTCAGTGCGACCTAATTGGACGTATCTTGTCCGAAGTTGTCTGTTATAGTAGTTGTCATAATTCCAAATGTTGGACCATGGACCTCTTTGATTTCTGGACGTTTTGTTGGCATTGCCAGGGAGTCTTGCAACTTTCAGCTACTACTCGCCAAAGAGACAAGTTAAGTCAATCCCTTGATTCAATTTCTGTTGAATAATTGTGCTATCATTAATCTTTCTGTCCTGGCACATCTATCTACTCTACCAGAAAGTGATATAAAAGTGTAAGTAGTAGTTAGATGTGCCAGGACAGAAAGAGAATTGATAGCACAACCATCCGATAGAAAGTAGATCTAGAGTTTGACTCAACTGGTCTTTGACTAGTTGTAGCTTGATGCTGAAACTGGCGACAAGTCTGGATTTGTAAAAAGCCTACGGTTCAACACAGGTAACTATTATAATTACTATATCAGACAAGTTCGGACAAGGTACGTCCAACTAAGTCGCCCTGACAATAATAGCAAGTTGCGGAAATAAGGTCAACCCACCTCTATACATCCAAAGGAAACTGTGACCAAGATAGAGACCACAACAGCTTGGTCTTCTTATCTTCAATACTTGTTTATAATTTCCAGTTGGAATTTGTATGGTCACAAAATAAAACGAAAAAACTTGTTATCTACCGTATTTACATAGTATTAGACGGCATATTTCTTTTAATAGCAGTATGCATTAATTATGCTCTCATTCTTGCCTGCACCCGAGGTTAGACATTTTGGCCTTTTACATTTTACTACAGCACAAAGTCAAAATCTTTGCTGAATTTGTGTTTCGACCTCATTTTCATATAGCTATTTGTTTAATGTTGTTTTAGAGTTTAGAGGAGTTTTGGAAACCGCAGTTATTAAATTTTATCTATCACAGATACTTCTTTCACATACGCTTATCTGCCTTTCGCCCATTCTTGACCTATCTAATAAATCCCAGGCTAAACTGACCTAACCAAGCTACATTAATTTAATACGATTCAGCCAACCTCATTTTTCTTCGCTTAAATAAATTTGTTTACGTTTCCTTCCAACTATTTAGAAGCTCTCGGCCACTCTGATGCAGTTGAACAGCTGTAAAGTAAGCATTACAGCCTTGCGTGAGCAACTCGATCAGCAGGAGTCTGCGCTAACCGAAGCAAGACAGTTCGGTGGCCGGAGCAGACGGCTAGCAGGTAGAACGTTATTTTCCTAGTCATAGAGTCATATATAATAAAGTATCTCTCCAAATTACGTAATTACAAAGAAAATTTCTGCGAGATCTCTTGTATTCTTTCATGCTCCTTTCATTTACAAAGCGGGCTGTTATCAGAAGAATTATGCAAGACAGACAGCTGATGGAATCAAATACTCACATGTTTATCGCTTCTTAATTTGGCCATTTTACAGTCTTTTTGATCTATTCACTCACTTACTGTCTAATTGTGTGTGCTGTCTAAATGTAAGACAGTGATAACTGTGGCCTCACTCAGTCGTCTCAAACAGACATATTCATAAGTGTCAGATGTCTGAATAGGCCGCGTTTAATATATACCCCTCAGCCTCCAAATTTTATCTGTCAAATCTATCACCTACTTTGGTAAAGTTTTGGTTGTATCATATTGCGACGAACTCCGGCAGACGAATGTGGCATTCGCCAACCATCTCTGTTGAGATGCATTCTTTTTTGGGCTTGATGGTGGCTCGAAGGCTCAGCAGGAATGAATGAGAATTGTCCTGGTTTCTCTGGCACTATAAGAAAGTTATCAGCTGCAAATAGAAACTCCCACCTGACCCTTGGTTTGCTAATGGTATGCGTAGGTGTGAATATTTTTTTGATTCCATCGACTTGAATAATTTGAAGAAAAGCTTGGTCTCAGACTGTTTGCCCCTGCCATTGTCCGGGGTTCCGAACCTGGCAACCCGATGCCTGTAAGTAAATAGTATGAGACTTTCGACAGCTGTAGTTGGCTAAAACAGCGAATGCATAAAAGAGATTGAACCTCAGATACGAGCTCAAATATGTGTTAGGGCTTTTTTTTATTCCTTTAGACTTCTGATACGTCTCACAGGATCCGATCCTATTAGTAATAACTAGGCAGTCCGCTATGTGCTTCTTGAAATCTTCTATAACGGGATGGGACAATTTATGCCTACTTTCTCAAGCTGCGCAGGACGTAGTTTCTTCCTGCACAATGTCTTCATTCCCTCTTGACTTTCGGTCACCAGAGCTAGAACCGTATCAATATCCCTGACTTCAGCCAAGGCAGTCTTAACAGATGTGAAACTAGACCGCACATCTTCATATAAGAAGACACCCTTACTTTTAGTCTTTAGACACACAAGACAAATTGTCGGCAGTATTTGATCATTTCAGGCATTGCCGGATATCTCTAGTGCTTTCCGTTTTTTGTCGTTGAGATGAACGAGAAAACTCAACGAAAATCCACCGAATGAGATCTCAGATATCAAACGCTCGAACAGGACCGTTATATGTTGTGTGTGTTAGTATACGCTGTGACTAGCAATGAAGATATTTTTGATGTAGAAAATAGACCATCGAGATTTCGCCTGACCTCTTTCACCGATTGCTGCAAGTTTTGCACAGCATTTCTGATTCCAAATGACATTTAAATTAATGGCTAATCTGATAGTGGTATGATGAGTAACAGTGTGTTTGGCTGCACTTTGAGTTCACCAGGACTGAATACATAGGGAACTTTTTGAGATACCTGTTTTATATACTGTTGTCTTCTCGAAGTAAGTTTGATATAAATCTCCCAATTAGATGTGCATTTATTCTTCGTTTTACCCCAAAGCCCACACAGAAATGTTGACCTCTCAGGAAATACATTCCAAGAAGGACAGGTCTATTACGCTGAAAATGCATTTAAGTAGCTATTTGAAGCTAAGACTGAGAGATGCCTCTTTGGCGCTATGCGCGTGAGAGGTAAGAATCTTCTTATCCTCTGAATTTGAAATAACCCTATTATCAATGTTGCCCAATGGCGACTTCCTCATCAAACCGAAGGAAAGACTATGGTTCAGTGAAAGACGATTTTCACTCATGTAAAAGAGAAGAATTGCAACGAAAGGAGGAGCAAAATTTCCGGAAACGGCAAAGCCTGTACGCTCGCGGCAATGTTGCTAGGTTGTGCTATAGTATAGAGAAAAGCGTTTCGCTTACAAGGAGCCACTTAAATAAAAGCATAGTACTGCCTTCTAAAATATATACTCTGCCACAAAGTTGGCTTTACTCTGGCATAATTTCATTAATCCCATTGCCCTGATCTTTTGTCTAATGCCTTCTTTTTAGCAGCTGATCGCAGTGGAGTTAGTGAGTGAAAGATAACATGGGCAATTCTAATAAATTCTGGAAGCATTGGAATGCACTCTTAGCTAGTACTATTTTGATTTTCATATTGTCTGCAGTCTTTTTATCACTGCATCATTTTTTTGCATGTTTTACATATTTACCGCTTTCTTCCTATGCACTTCAGAACAGAGAAAAACTGAGCTGAACAAGATGAAAAGGACTCTGGACGCTCAGAAATCAGAGATCATACGCTTGAATGGCCTACTTGATCGACTTGTCGGGCTTGCACCAGGTAATTCTTCTTCTCGTGGTTTGCTTTCTATTAGGTTTTCTTTACTTCTGGTCTGGTATCCTGAATTGATACGTTTTTTTTCAGGTGCCTTTTCAGATCATTAGTTCATCATCTACAATTTATGTATATCAGTCTGCTAAACAGCTAGGAAAAACTTGTTCTTGATAGTATAATGGATTTATGCTTATCTTTTTATAAAGTTCGTGTTAATGTTATGTAATAATGAGATTTTTATATATGCCGTTTTGCATATAATTATAAGCTAAATCTTACAATACTGGGGAGTCATTTTGCATAAAGCGATACTAATCGTAGAGTAATGTTGTTTGAGTATTTCCGGTTTATTATTTTTCGACAGTGTTGAAATTTCCCCTTACGGATTGTTTCATCACAACTACTAACGGGAGATCGGAATAATGAGGATTATTATTATCAGAAGCTTGGGACTTATGCACACTGAGTTCTGGAACGAAAAGTTGGATAAACTGACTTGGATTTGCCTTAGTAACGCGTACTTCAGAGAATTTATAGAAAGAAATATAGGGGTCATAAAGAGCAGGATTTTATGAAAATAATATCAGGAATCGGGAGGACGACCAAAATTGGATATGCCTGTCCTCCTGCAAGATACGAGAAACCATCAATATCGTGACTGAAGGAATTTTATTTGGCAGGAGACTTAAAGAAGGCAGGATTAGCGAAAACGTTGCATACTGCCTGAGAAAACTTAGAGAAGACCAGGCAACAGTAATATCAACAAAAGGAAGACGACTGTACAGAGAAAATATTTTTAATTTTAGTGGAGGAAATTACAAGGAGACCAGAGAAGAGCAATCGGAAATCAAGATGAGACGTCTACAGTGAGCCTATTCAAATCAAGTAGAACTATCACATTTGGGGTTCGGCATGCAAGATACTTGCTCACGAGATTTACTCGGTTCACATGCTGCACAACGATAAGGGAATCTGTAGCGTCAAGTTAGGCTGCTATGCCAAATGAGAATCTAGACTTCAGGGGCTTGCCCAGTGAGGCTGGGTGCTATCGAAGGCTTGAGGCAGATTGTAGAACATAACAGCTTGAGTAGCACGGATACGATGGCTGCGATGGAGGAAAATCACTGAAATAAGCAGATAAGGGAAGGATCTTACGGACAAGCGGAGTACTCTGATAGGACCCGAAGGAAGAGGAATGCGGGTTAAATCGCAAGCTTGGCTCAACACTCCCGGAACAGTGGGAGGGGTGTGGAAACCAGCGGGGAGTGTGAATAGGTTTCAAATAGGTTTATATAAGCAAGTAATAAATTGCAATATTGAAGGAGTAATACGATGATATAGGGTAGGCGAAGAGCCCGCACACTTGGTAAAAGGATCAACAACACTTGTCTCTTTGGCAAGTTGTAGTGCGGTGCTAAGAACGGCAAGACTATCTGACGATGCCGACCACGAATCCGGCGACACGTCTGACTATGTACCAAGTCCACGCACAGTCAGACTGTAAATGGTCATGCATACTATGGACTCCGGACAAGGTGCGTTCCTATAAGTCTTCCTGTCAATATGGCCAAGTTGCGAAAACAAGGTCAAACAACTTTTCAACTGTTTCATTAATAATACAATACCCGTTGAATTAATTCTTTTGAAATTCGATTAATAAGTGAAAGCGGACGCATCCCGTCATTACCAAATAAATTATAAAATAATTAAATATTATTTATAATATCTAAGGTCATTGGGATCATTTGGATCAATTCCGACTTGAGTTTGACCTACCCAGATGCAAGACCTATTCGTAGCCCAAATAAGTCGAACACTATTCCTCCACCCATCAAGGATAAGTTGCCAGATCTGTCTAAGTTTACTTAATTTCCAAATCCGCAATTTAGTGGTTGGTAGCTTATCCCTCTGTGCGGTTAAACAGATTACTTACTGACAGCTCTCAAAAAAGTGCGATATCTCGCTATTTGATAGTTTCAAGTAATTGTGTTGCTTAGCAATGGTTTGTCACTTTGGCCCGACCTTGTCCTAAGCTGTAAATTTTTTTCCTCAAAACTCAAGTACATGACATTACGCAAATATTTGTGGTATAAGGTTATTCTTGCTAAATTAAATGCGATGATAATTAGACTTATAATACTCTAATGCTTTTACTCACATCAATCCTTCTAGAATGGCCTAGTTATATTTTGAAATATAATCGGTTAACTGTTCCAGACTTACTGCTCTTTTTTACATTCGGGCTATGAAGAGCTTATTTACTATTCTTTTATCTTCCCTTGTATTCGTATTTTCTGGCATAGAAACGTAGTAGTCATTTTAATTCATAATAATCATGCACAGCACCAAGAAAGGGCAAAAACTTGTCGCAGTGATGATTTGGCTTTTTCCATTCGTATGCATTCGGCAAAATATCCTGCGAAATTTCACGCCTAATCAATACTGCTACTTTTTTATTTCATCATTCTTATTAACTATTAGCTATTTTTAATTTGTATTTTCGAAAAGATAATGCTCATCTGTCCGACCTAAAAACCGTTCAAACTGGTCTTACTGGATTGCATAACCAGATGTGCTCTAACCTGCCTCTCGAGGTGCCTGGACAAGCGCGTGAGTATATTAATTATCCGATCATATTTTTCTTCCTCGATTCTTTTACTCTTAAGTGTACCTGATTTAATGAATAATGTTTAACCTCGTAGCTGTTTGGCATCTAACGGAAGGGGTTGCAACTAAAAACGAAAGTTAACGGAATAAATAAAGGGTCATGCTTAACATCACTTTACTCGTCAAGGCAGAAAGCAGTAAAACGATCATAATACTCTTTTTACTTGTATTAGTTTGCTTTTATAACTTTAAACCTTTCATTTCACTCCCTCATTTTCATTTACTGTTGCTAAGACTTTATCTTTAATTAGCTTCACGGCTTCATGTTTTCTAATAGGTCTGAAGTTTTTATTAGGATGAATGAATTTAGTGCAGCAATATTATTATCACCACAAGTTTTACTTTACCGCTAGTACGAC